ATGCTAGAATTCATACCGTAAACCAATATGCCATGTCACTTCTCTCATGAATGAATGTATGTCATCCTTGTAGGCTCTATTTTTAATGGCTCAGAAGGAAGATTTTCTTTTAATTTGAAACTTGTTTAAATCACTCTTTTATTTAAGTATGTTTGTTTCACTTTCTTCTAGTGCTAGGTGATGTTGAAGAGCTAAAATGGAGGGAAAAAAACCCCAGACAATCCTGACTTCAAGTCAAAGAACATTTAATTTCTGCTATGGTTGCAATCAGTGATTCTTAACTGGGAGCAATTTTGACCCCAGGGGATATTTGGCAATGTCTGCTGAGATTTTTGGTTGTCAAGACTGAAAATCAATACTGCTAAATATCCTATCATGCATGGGACAGTCCCCACAACAAATAATTGTCTGGCCCCAAATGTCAACAGTTTCAAGGCTGAGAACTCTGACCTAGATTCTATATTATATGCTGGGGACCAAAGACGAAAAAGATGTTTTTATATACTCTGTCTTAAATGAACTCACAAATGTTTAGTTTCCCCCCGCCCAGTCTTTTTAGTAGGTAAGTAAATGAGAGTTAGAACAGGTGTAATGTACCTTCGTCATTAGCAGAAAAGGAGGGAGTGGTAACTAACTAGAGTAGGGAGGGTCAGGGGTGATTTCAGCTAAAAAGGAACTTTTTGGCTGGGATCATAGAATAAGTAGGGTTTCTCTAGGTCTCCAAAACTTACTCAACCATAATAAAAAGTTCGTAATAGAGGCAGAAGCAAAACACCCAAGAATCAGAGGAGAGAAGAAGTCACCACAAGGTTAACATTGGCGGGGTAGATGAGATTTTAACCAGGTTCTGAAGGGTAGGTGGAATTTTGACATAGTACATCTAATAAAAAATTAGGCTTGGCACGTTGGCTCACACCTGTAATCCTAACACTTTACATGGCTGTGGTGGGAGGATCACTGAAGCCCAGAAGTTTGAGACCAGCTTGGGCAACATAATGACATCCCATCTCTACAAAAAACATAAAAACTCGTCAAGCATGGTGGCACATGCTGGTAGTCTCACCTACTCAGGAGACTCCTGCTGAAGTGGGAGGATTGCTTGAGTCTAGGAGGTCGAGGCCTCAGTGAGCTGTGATTTTGCCACTATACTCCAGCTTGACCTTGTCACAAAAAGAGAAAAAAGTAGATTAGGTGGAATGAAGAACTTTGTGTATCTTATAATCGAATTTGTGTTGACTACTCTTTGGGGAAAATGTGTACTCTAAAATGGTATGCTGTAGTGCAGATGCAGTGCACAGATATTTGATCTGATTTTGCCAGCTCTGCTTCTCCATTACTGTTACCTCTCTAGGAACATTTTTGTGAATTCTCTCAAGTATTTCAATTCTTAGAATATTGTCAAATTATGAATTACTTTTTAGTGTGTCTGGTAATATCTAAAACAGAGAACATTTACTTTTCCTTTAAGAAGTTTAACAACAGAAAACTATTTAATACATACCCAACTTTAGGTAAACATGTACACTTCCTTTAAGCAACCATATAAGTAGACTACTTTTCTCACTCATGTGGACAGCTGGGAGGAATACATTTCTTCCATGAATGATCTCTTCCCCTAACCAACTTAGAGTTACGGCATAAAGTGGTGCAGATTTAGAGCACCCTTGTGGAGGGAGTGATACTGACTAAACCATGTGCTTTGACACAAGCCTCTGTCAAAGAAAGGTCACATTTTTTTAAGTTTTCAAAGGTAAGTGGAAGTGACAGGTTGCCTTTTTTTTTTTTTTTTTTTTTCCTATCAAAGCCCATCACCCTCTTGCACTCTTGCCATCCTCTCCAAGGAGAGCATGTTTAGATAGCAGCTACTTCTCCAGCCTTGGTCTCCCAACGAGACACAGTGGGTCATGTCTGAATTAAGCCCAGCTGATAAGAGGAACCCTGCCGGACTCAGCAGAACCACAGCCAATACTCAAAAGTAAGAAATAAACGTTTGGAGTTTAAACCACTGATACTGTGAGATTGTTTATTGTCCCCAGCGAAAAGAAGACTGATAACAGAAATCATGGAGTCAGCTTGTCAGATCAACAGTGTGCATCTCGACCCATGTTCATTCTCTAGAAATCAAGCCTCTCCCCACAAAAGATTCTTTTACCAGCTGCAAGGAAAACTATTTCATGTGCTACATAGGTGATGCTTTCATTCTGCAGTCTTTACTGAGATTTATCATACTTTTACATAATCACTTTTTGCCTTAAAAGAAATACCTGACATTTATTTCCTAAGGAGTTCTATGAGTTTGCTATTGTTGCTTTAACAAACTACCACAAATGCAGTGATATGAAACAATGCAAAATGATTATCTTACAGTTTTGGAGGTCAGAAGTAAAAAGTGGATCTAGCGGGGTAACCACAAGATGTTGGCAGGATGAGCTCCTTTCTGGAGGCTCTGGGGGAGAGTTTGTTTCCTTGCCTTTTCTAGCATCTAGATGCTGCCCACAATCCTTAGCTCCTGATCCCCAGCAATTATATCACTCTGACCTCTGCTTCTGTCCTCAAATCTGCTTCTCTGACTTTCCTGCCTCCTCCTTTCACTTATAAAGATGCTTGTGATTACATTCAGTCCACTTGGAAAATCCATGATAGCCTGCCTCCCATCTTGAAACTCTTAATCTAATCA